GGAACTGAGGGCTGTGTTTCAGGCAATATTTGTGATTTTCCAGATGAGGCTGCAGATCAGTGCAAGTTCCATCCATGCCAAGGCACTGTTATACCTCTATGCTGATCTACTTCTAGGTTGTGTTTCAGCAGTTTCTGTTGTATAATTAGGTTTATATGTAATGATATGTGTCAATTATTTTAATTTTGTGCTTTTAATTAATAGGATCCTAGTAAAATTCCAAGGTGGCTAAAAATTAACAAAATCTACTACCCAGATTTCATTGTCCCAGATCCAAAGGTAAGTGCTCTCATAATCATTTCACATGTAACATTTCCCAGCCCTTATTCTGCAATCTTCTATAAATCTTTTAGAAGGACAACTTAGAAGTTGTCTCTGTTACAAAATAAATCCTCATACTTGGAATGGGAAATTAAGCACAAGTTTTTATCTCTCAATCTTGCAGGTGCATTTGAGGCTAAGAGCTTCATGAAGAAATCACACCTGCAGCAGTTTTGGGAAATATTCTTGTGCATTAAATCCCTTCCAGAAGTGAGCTTGCTTTAAATTTGAGATATGAGAAATCTGACTTTAAAGGGTTGAAACACAACTGCAACCCAAAAGTTGCTGTTGTTGTAGGGAATGTGTCAGTATGCTCTGTATGCCTGAAGGAGAAGGTGTTATTTAGAAACAGAATTTTGTGTTAGTGAACTATTGTCAAACAAAGGTGACTCCGATGTTGGTGAGGGAGAGAGAATGGTGCATCTGACTCCAACAAAACACAGGCGACTCCAGTGTTGGTGAGGGAGAGAGAATGGTGCATCTGACTCCAACTTTTCAGAAGGATAATTAATTACTTTATTATACCATACTAAATACATTTCATCTAAATTGAATCTGCCATGCACTCTTGCTCACAACTGCACAGAACTGCACTCAACTCTGATTCTCTCGTGACAGTCCTGACACACACTCAGCCCGAATAGGCCAAGGAAACAAAACATCCTCCCTCTGGATAAACAATCTCCATATTGCATTCTACCTTGCCACAGCACAGGCACAGCAAGTGATAAGAATTGTCTTTTCCCTTTCTCTGAGGTTCAGAGAATGTGGAACCAAAAATATTCTTGGGAAGAATTGTGCCTTGCTTTTCTCCATGAAGAGAATGTGGCAACAGTGAAGGGTCTCTGGCTTAGAGAAAAAGCCGGTTTTAACAACGAGGGTGACAGCAAGGTCACTTTGTGTTTACGGAGCTGCGCTGGGGTGGAGGGTGAGTGGGGGGGGACACTCTGAGCTGGCTCCTGAGGGAGCCCAGGGGTGTGACGTGGCTTCCTCGCTGTGTTTAGAAGGCCCCGGTGTGGGAGATCACGGGGGCCGAGTTCTCCAAGGCCGAGGCGCACACTGCGGACGGGATCTCCATCCGCTTCCCGCGCTGCACCCGCATCCGCGACGACAAGGACTGGCAGACGGCCACCAACCTGCAGCAGCTCAAGGTGGGTCAGCAGGGGCCCTGCAGCTTCACACTCGTCACAGCATGCGCTGAAGGCGCCTGCTGCCTTCGTGGCACCTTCCGTTTTCCCTTCATGCCAGACTCGGGCTGGGCTGTTCTGCTGGAGGCCTCTCAGGGCCCTGGAGCTGTTGTGTTGCTGTGCCTTGTCAGAGAGGTCTCTGTGGGCAGTTGGTTCCATCAGCTCTTGTGGCAGGGTGAGGAATTGCCTTCCTCAGAGGTGATCACAGAATGAATTCTGTTGGAAAAGACCTTTTGAGATCACCAAGCCCAACCTATGACCTAACAGCACCTCAGCAACTAAACCATGGCACTGAGTGCCACGTCCAGGCTTTTTTTAAACACGTCCAAGGACGGTGACTCCACCACCTCCTTGGGCAGACCTTTCCTCTCTCCGTGCTCACTCAGTTTCCCATCACTTGCTGAGACTGGGAGAGGCATTTGGGAAGTGCCCGTGGGTATCCTGGGGCACAGGGGCCAAGTGACACTGGCCAGAACCCCCAGGCTGCAGCCACCCCAGTGCCAGCCTTGGGGGAGCTCTGTGCTCAGGGGAGCTGCTGCAGTTTGGGGCTGGCAGCAGCTGCCAGGGCTGCAGTGCCATGGAAAGCAGGAGTGATGCAGCCCTCAGGGCCTGCCAGGATCCCCATGGGGAGGAGAGAGGAACAAATCCCTCTGCAGATGGGCCCTTCCCACAGTGAGCACTGGGCACTGCTCATCCTTCAGGCTCTTGCTCTGTAGGAGATGTGGATGTGGCTTTTTTGCTCCTCCCTCTGTGGCTTCCCTTAATGCAGGAGAGGGGTGGAATGCAGGGAGCTGGGACAGAGGTGACAGGAAAATGACTGCAGAGGGATGCAGGAAGAAAAGGCTTTAGAGCAAACACTTCAGGGGGGAGAACACCAGAGCAGTCTGTGCATCACAGCTCGTGTCCAGTGCCAGACATGATCAGTGCTGTTTCTCTGGCAGGAGCTGTACCAGCTCTCCAAGGAGAAGGCTGATTTCAGTGTTACAGCTGGGGAGGAAGATGAGTCCACAGCTGGCAGCAGTGGAGAGAATGATGGGAATTCCAGATCTTCCACACCTCACAGCAGTATTAAGAGCCCCCCAAGCAAGTCACCTGCAAAAGCCCAGAAGGCAGAAGGTAAGATGATGGTGCTTTCAGGAAGGAGCCTGGGGCTGTGTCCTCTGTGCTTGGGACAGGCTGGCTCTGGGCCCTTGCCTTCTGAGAGGCTTGATGATCCCACCTTTCATGTGGATCTCAGGGATAATGGGCAGAGCTGTTCAGATCCTTGGTTTGGCCTTGTATGAATTGAGTAGGCACAGCTCTGAGATGTCCTGGGAAAAGGGATGGAAAGAGGGATGGAAACAGCCCTGGTGATGCTGTTCAGGTTGGTGTGCACTGCTCCCATTTCTGCAGGTCACAGCCCTTTGGTGTGACACTGTTGGCCATGAGCCAGTGTTTAATTTGATTTGGATGGAATTCACGTGCATAAAGGGACATGTGGCTGGAGGTGATTCCCAGGTGAATTGAGCTGGAACGTGAAGCAGATTGCTGAGCAGTTTCACAGAGGACAGAGTGGTGACAGCATGGAGGGCAGGTGGCAGCAGCAGCCTGGGAATGGGGCAGGAGGCTGCCCCACACCATTTCCAATGAAAAATGTGTCTCACTAGCGAGAGTAGTTCATGGATTTTCCAGAAAGAGGGGAGGAAACTTTTCCCTTCTGCTCGTTACTCTTTCCCCCAACTAATACACAGCCAGTATCTGGACAGAGCACATGCATGAGTCAAATTTTTGTTTTTAGACAGCAAAGGAGTCACTGGATCCCCTCAAAAATCCGAGGAGAAACGAGGGGAGAAGAGAAAAGCATCTGAGATGGAGGACAACGGGAAGAAGGTACAGTCAGGGGGGCAGGACAGTGGCCACAGCAGGGTGGGGGAGGCTGGGGCAGCTGTGGCCTGTTCACCTCCATTCCAAGGAATGCCTGTTCCCCTCCATTCCAAGGAATGCCTGTTCCCCTCCATTCCAAGGAATGCCTGTTCCCCTCCATTCCAAGGAATGCCTGTTCCCCTCCATTCCAAGGAATGCCTGTTCCCCTCCATTCCAAGGAATGCCTGTTCCCCTCCATTCCAAGGAATGCCTGTTCCCCTCCATTCCAAGGAATGCCTGTTCCCCTCCATTCCAAGGAATGCCTGTTCCCCTCCATTCCAAGGAATGCCTGTTCCCCTCCATTCCAAGGAATGCCTGTTCCCCTCCATTCCAAGGAATGCCTGTTCCCCTCCATTCCAAGGAATGCCTGTTCCCCTCCATTCCAAGGAATGCCTGTTCCCCTCCATTCCAAGGAATGCCTGTTCCCCTCCATTCCAAGGAATGCCTGTTCCCCTCCATTCCAAGGAATGCCTGTTCCCCTCCATTCCAAGGAATGCCTGTTCCCCTCCATTCCAAGGAATGCCTGTTCCCCTCCATTCCAAGGAATGCCTGTTCCCCTCCATTCCAAGGAATGCCTGTTCCCCTCCATTCCAAGGAATGCCTGTTCCCCTCCATTCCAAGGAATGCCTGTTCCCCTCCATTCCAAGGAATGCCTGTTCCCCTCCATTCCAAGGAATGCCTGTTCCCCTCCATTCCAAGGAATGCCTGTTCCCCTCCATTCCAAGGAATGCCTGTTCCCCTCCATTCCAAGGAATGCCTGTTCCCCTCCATTCCAAGGAATGCCTGTTCACCTCCATTCCAAGGAATGCTTTGCCCAAGCTCTGTTTCTCCTTCCCCCCTCAGCAGCCACTGCTGGACATTTTCACGGGGGTGAGGCTGTACCTGGCGCCCTCCGTGAAGGACTTTGAGCGGATCCGCCGCTACTTCATCGCCTTCGACGGGGACCTGGTGGCAGAGTTCGACACGGCCTCGGCCACGCACGTGATTGGGGACATTGATGACAACCCCGGGGCGCAGCGGGTGACTCCCCGCTGGATCTGGGAGTGCATCCGGAAGCGCAGGCTGGTGGCGCCGTGCTAGCACAGACCAGCTGGGAACTGGGGGGTGGAGGGAAGGGAGATCCCTCCATGGAGGTGTGGGTAGACTGGAAGTGCCCTCAGAAGTAGCTACAGAGATCCAGAGCAGCCCTATGGAATGAATTTAAAAAGTCCTCTGACGAAATGTGACTGCTGAATCCTGGTTTTCTGCCCACACTGTAGACCACCAATCCTTATCCAGGTGCTGGTTTAGTCTCCTTGGGTTTTTAAAGTTTGGGTATTTTTATAGATAAATAAAACTGAAGCAGCTTCTCCTTTGCTGTCAGGACTTGTTTTCCAAAGGTTCTTCTCTTCCTGTTCAGGAGAACAGCAGCAGCTCCATGGGACTCTTGGCTGTGGTGCCAAGGTCATTTGTGTGTCAGGTAATTTTTTTCCCCTCCACCTCTTCTGTCCCCCTCCCACTGACAGCATTTCAGCAGCTGGGATCCCAATGTCTGGCTGAGGTTCAGCAGTAGCTGCAGGATCTCTGCTTGTAACAGATTCAGAAACAAAGTTAACTAAATCACAATTCAACTTTATTATAAAATTATAAACCAAACTTCTGTACCAAAACTAGTAAGTTGAACTGTCATAGTACCAGAGGATTTAATAGTGAATAACATGCCCTTTCAAGTAGAATATTAAGTTTTAACATCTTTAAACAATGTACAGTGTACATAAAGCACATAAATATTTCCATTTACTTTATTAGTTCAGAACATTATATTCCTTTGGATCATTAATCAGTTTCCTCCAGGTTTTGATTTTCCTTTAAAAGTAACTCACTCCTATCTCTAAGTAGAGAATCCATTTTTACAAGGGAAACAAGAAGAGTCCTCCCTTCACAAAGCACATTTTGGAGTTCAGGGTGGGTGGATCTTCTCATCCCTAAAATTTCAGGCATTGATCTGCAGCTTGATTTAACTGCTGTAGAAAATAAGCCTACCCTCTACAAGGAAAGTACATCTATCCATAGGGGAATCATCTTCTTCCTGCTAAATTCCCCCAGCCCTGAGTTTACTGAAAAATATGACAACATGAATTTTCACAGTGGATTTCCTAAATGAGGCTGTTCAGCACACTGTGTATTCCTGCAGCTCTCTGAGGTCCCAGTGCTCTCTCCAGAGCAAACAGAATCACTTCTCACCTGCCCTTTTCTCTGTCAGGATGCCCTGACTTGTTCACTTTGTTCTCCTGCTGGATCTGTTAAACCTTAAGATTAAAGAACAGCCTGACCTGGGACAGAGGTAGGACTCAGAATGCTGAGTTCAGTCAGTGCAGCAGCTGCTGCAGTTCTGTGGAATTCTGAGATCACCTCAGTGAGAAATCCCTGGCTCTCTCCTGCTGCCTCCTGAGCCATGGCTTTCTCATCCCAGGTGCTCTTTTGGCTGCAGCTCCCAGAGCAAAGACCCTGCACTCGCTGCAGCTGAGCTGCTGCTGGAACTGTCCCTGTGCAGAGCACACCAGGTGAACACACTGCTGCCATCACTGCCACTGCACAGGAGCAGCTGCACTTCAGTGCCCCAGGAGCTGAGGGCAGCCACTGCAGAGCCCCTTCTCTGCTGGCAGCCAGGCTGGCACACAGAGCCAGCCCCTGTCCCAGAGCAGCCAGGACAGCCTGTACAGTGAGGGCACAGTGCCATGCTGATGGACAGCGAGGGGAAAATACACCAGTTACAAGCACCTCCAGCAAGAACTGCCAGACTGCTCTAGCACTTCTCTTCCAGCTGAGCACACTGCCCAGCAGAGCTGTCAGGGATCAGGCCACAGCCTCTCTCCCCACCCTCACCAGCAGAAAGGACAAAACTGCTTTTGGTAAGCAGTGCAAGGTAACAGAACTGTAAAACTGAGCCCTGGGGAGGATGGGGGAAGCTGATCTGCAGTGGAGATTGCTCATGGATCCAATGGAGACAAAGGCTTTCTTCCATTATTCCCTTCTAAAAAAAGAAAAAGTCACCTGTACTTAAATATGATTGTGTAGCAATGCAGTCCTCACTACTCTGCAGCTCTGTGGTTCCTCACTAAAGCCTGGGCAAGACTCAAGCCCTGGATTTGTAGCTCCCTCAGCAAGTGGGGGCAGTTCAGCTTGAGCCCCACCCCTGGCACGTGCTGTGAAGTCAAAGTCCACAAAATCAAACCAGAAACCTCCCTCTGGCACAGAAACAAAAACCCAGCAGACAGGGCAAGGCTGAGCCTTCCCAGCCTCCCTCCCCAACAGTTTTCAATAATACAGAGACAACCTTGATACAAAATTACACGTTTTTCCACAATTGCACTAGGCTGGAATTAGGGAAAGCAGGGAGGGTCTGCCTGTCCTGCAAGCATAACAATTTTACATTAAATTAAAAATAAAAGTAAAATTAACAAGCACAGTGAGATTTTAATCTTCGAAAATCAAGTTGTTGCTGGGCAGAGCCTGAGCAGCAAAACAAAGGACACTTTTTGAGACCCCAGTTCACTTTTATTATTCAGAGGGAAATACAAAGCCTCTGGAGCTGATCTTCCTGGTGGAAAGCTGGGCATCCATCTGCCCTCAAATGATCCTAGGATGGAGGTGGTTAATGACTGCTGGCAATGAGCTCCAAGGAGTCCAGGCACTGTGGTGTAAAGCACAATGGTGGGATGAGCAGTCGGGCATGGCTTGAGCAGAGCACTTTCCCCAGGCTTCCTCTTTCCCTCTCTTGCAGCAGGGTCCGTGCTGATCAAGGTAGCTGTTGGCAGGGATGTTGGCCCTTTCCCTAAGAGCACGGAGGCTTTAAGGCACAGCAGCCCTGAGCCCAGAGCCACCTCTATGTCCTGAAGACGTGCACGGCCCTGATCACGTACTGGCGGCAGATGGGGCACTCGCTCATGCGCTTCCCGCACTTGGTGCACGTCACCATGTGCCCGCACTCCAGCAGCACGCAGTCGATGGCAGCATCCATGCAGATCCTGCACAGGTTGTCCTCGGTGCTGGGGGGCCCAGCACCACCTGAGGGGACAGGAGAGCACGGAGGGGTCAGACAAAGGGAGGTGTGGCGGGTTTGTGCATTCCCAGTTGGCTCTGCTGAAGGGATTCCCTAAGGGACAAGGTGTGCAAAGGAATTTCCCTTGTGGTTGCTCCATCAGCTGGCAAGGAGCAGAAGTTTTAGTTTTTACACAGTAATTTCTGTGAGATGGAAACAAATACCACTGAGATGAGGCAAGTGAAGCAACAGGGGTCTCTCTTCCCAGGTAATAACACAAGAGGAAATTACCTCAAGTTGTGACAAGGAGGTTTAGATAGTACCACTGAGATGAGGCAAGAGAGGAAATTACTTCAAGTTGTGACAAGGAGGTTTAGATAGAAATTTTTCCTGATAGCCATTTTCAAAAGGGTTGTCAAGCTCTGGAACAGATTGCTCAGGGCAGCGGTGGCATAAACAACCCTGAGGGGAGGTAAAAGCCATGTAAATGTGGCATTTGGGGACATGGTTTAGGGGTGGCCTTGGCAGTGCTGGCTGGACTGGATCTTGGGACGGTTTTTCCCAATAAACAACTCCATGATTAAGGATCTCACTCACCAGTTTGATCGTCAGTGTCCAAAACTGCAATAGAAGAAGAGAGAGATTTGGTGAGAATCTGAAAAGCTGGGAGAGAAGTGTTACCAGGCAGGGGCTGAAAACCCTGAGGGAGTTGCTAAACCAAAACTGCTTTGTGCTGATCACCATGGGAGGTTCAGGCTGGGCTCTGATCAGGACAGGTTCAACAACTGACAAGAACTTTCTCCGATACTGAGCTTGCAGAACAGTTAAAGCTTCCCAGAGATAAGGGATCCAAAGGGATGTCTCAATTTTTAAGACAGCCTTGGAATGTGTGCAGAGTTTGGTTTCCCAGTGCTGCACCTGCAGCAGCCCCTTGTGCCAGCTCCTCTGCTGTTACACAATCACCAAGTGATTGAACAGACACAGAGTGAGTGAAAGAAAAGGCTACATTGCATCAAAAGCACAAGGTAATGAAAGAATGTAACCCCAAAACTGCTGTCTTAAATCTTGCATCATCCATACAAGACAAAACCTAGAGAGATGCGTTTAAGAAAACAACACTCCTTTGGACAGCACTGAGAAACAAACATATGAAATCAAAGCGTTAAAGTAAGTTTCTCTTGTAAATAATTTACAAATATGTGGTTATTTTAAGAAATCCCCTCGAAGTGCAAACTGGCACCTGGAAAACCAAGCCAGATATATTCTCTACACACCCGTGTCCCCTCACAGCCACCTGAGCAGGCCCAGGAACACTGGTGGTAAGAGAGTGAAACCCCAGCTATCCACAGCTGGGCAGCCCTGGGAGCCACTGCTCTGAGCACATGCCCTGAATCTCCCAGCTGCTCTTTGGTGGCAGTTTCCTGCCTGGGCAGGGCATTTCCCTGCTGGCTTTGCCAGGTACCACAAGCCAAGAGATAAGAGCTCAGCATATCCAGTCGTGTACAGCCACCCACCAGCTGCTGTGAGGGTGAGGCGGTGCCCAGTGGGATCTGCTGGGGGCATGCACAACACCAAGTGTGAAGGATACACAGCCCTTGTGCTGCTGCTGCAGGGCTCCCACAACTCTCTCCTCAAACAGCACCAAGGAGTGGTGAGCAGAGCTCAGCCCCTTTCACTCTGCACAAACACTCCCCCCTCCTCCTCACTCTGCTGCACCAGAAACGTCAGCTAAGTTCCATTTCCTTGTCAGCTGTCTGTAACAAGGCTAAACCTGGGGAACAGGCCCCTGTTTGCCAAGCCTCTCACCTAGGTGTTGAAGGTCCTTCTCTCTGTAGAGGCGAGTGACCCTCTCCAGCAGCTCCCACTTCTCACAGCAGCCTTTGTAGTTGACGAAGTTGCGGGCGAGGATTTCCTTCAGCTGCCGCACGGAGAGCGCGCTGATGTCCCCGACGCTCGTCAGGTCAGACAGGGAGGCCTTCCTGCCCAGCACCAGGTTATCCTCGGAGTCACTGGACTGGGGGGAGCACACAGGGAATTATTCATGCCCTCAACACCTGGAACTATGATATCAATCAACTTCCAGCATGTGTTAGCAGGAATTCAGGTTTGGATGTACAGAGAAGTGGCTGCTCTGAATTCATCTACCAGAAACACAAATCTTGAGATAGAACTTAATCATTTCTGCCATGGTGCCCAAGTGGCATCAGTTCTTTCTGTATGTGGAGGACAAGATGATGCCACAGAAGGGGTCGATTTGGTTTGGTCATTCTCAGTTACTGTTCATGTCCAGTAGCAAATCCAGCCCAGGAAACCTGGTATTCCCTGCCATCCACTTCCAGGACACACAAACCTGTATCTCATCCTCTGCTGCTGCTTCTTCTGCTGCATTCTCAGCTGCTGTTCCACAGGCTGGGCTCGGAGGCACATGACCATTGGCCTGGAAGAGGAAATGAAGCTTTCACCATTTGTGGGTTTCTGAAGGGAAATCAAGTCCAGGACAGTGTCACTGCAGTCCCTGACCTCTGGAAGGACACAGGCAGGACAAGGCACAAGCCAGGCACACTCACAGAGCGTTTTCCCTGTGCAGCACTCACACAAAGTAACACTTACTGAAGCTGAAGCTTTAAAGCCCCAGTACAGAACTCCAGGCTGAATCAGGAGGAGACCAAATTTATACACCAAATTTGTAATGCATATGGGCAGTCCTTCCCTGAGGGTCACACTGTGCTGTGTGTGATGTCAGAGCTCTCAGTGCAAGGCTCTGCAGAACCCTCCTCTAACAGCTCAGATCTTCACAGGAACCCAGCAAACACCTCCTCAGATGGGGTCTGGAGAGGGCAAACAGGAGACAACGAGCGAGGGAGCAGCAGTGACAGGGCTGGAGGAGAAAAGCTGGGCAGTTGCTTTGAACACTTGATCAAATGAGCAGTGTAATTTCAGCTGACTCACCCCCAGCAGCCACTGCTCCCTCTGGTTTCCTACTGACAAAGAGACTGTAATGTTACCATCCCACTTATCCAAGTGGGGACTTGTTAATATTTACAGAGCCCAAGAGTAACAAACAGGATCAAAGAGCCTGAACTGCAGCACCACGTCATGCAAGTCAAGACAAGAAACTGAAATGTATCACGGGGCAGTGAGGGAAGACAGCAGAGCTGGTAAAAACTGGAATGGCAATATCCAGAAAACCAGGGAATGAAAATGCCTTTTAATGATTTGTAAGAAACATTCTCCCAGGAGAACTCTTCTTTTGAACTAAATAAATCTGCTGAGGAAGCAGAAGGTACACACATTTTCACAGCTCAGGCCCACAGGGAAGTGAATACACCCATTAACTTTGTAACCGGACAAGGAGCAGATGTCAAACACTGAGTAAACTTTCCTTAGCAGAGAGCAGAAAGACAAACAAAGCAAGGTCAATAAAAAATAATTAAACTCAAATGCCCCTGCTGAGGTTCATCAGAACTGCAGGTTCATCATAAACCAAGACTTGGCAACAGACTCAGGGTTTGTCTTCTATTGATCTGAGTGCAGGAGACAACAAAAACCTCACCCAGCCCCCATCACCTCAAGCTCCAAAACTGCTTTAGACTGCCCTTGTTATTTGGCACAGGAATTAAAGAACGGTATCAACTATTTAATTACACCCACAAACGCGTGCCAGAAGCCATCAGCAAGTACCAAAGGAAGCAGTCACGGGAGCATCTTGTGGCAAGGGAAGTGTGGACCAGAGCACCAGAGAAAACACAACCCAGAGCAGTGATGATGTTCTGAGAGCGAATGCTCGAGATATTCAGCACTGCCTGCCAAATTCAATTCCATCATGAACAGCACATCATAGTTAGTGACAGCAAGTCACAACTTTACACAGCAGAACCACATCCTAGCAGTTAATCCAAAAACAGAGGTGGATGAGTTTGCAAAAGATGGTTCTGGCCAGAGATTGTACCTGTTGGTGCTCCTGAGCTTCTGAACTTGAGATGGGATCTGCAGACACTGAGGACTCATCATGTGAGGTAGGAGAGGCCAGGTTGGTTGGGGGGTGACTCACAAAGTCCTGCTGTTCATGAGCACTGGTATTAAATGTGTTTGTTCTTATCTGATCTTCCTGGGTAATTGCAGGCTGCTGGCCAAGGATCAGGAATACCAGGTCCTCCTTTTCACGACAGAACTCTGTGGAAATCTCATGGAGGGCCAAGTAATCTCGCAGATCCTTCACCTTCATCTTGATCAGCTCCTCCCGCTGAAAGGCCGTGGCTCGGAAGCGCTGGCAGAGGTGGCAGAGCAGGGGCCCACCCTCGGGCTGGCTTGAGCACGACGTGCAGAAGTTCTTCTTACAGTCCAAGCAGATGTGCTGGGAGAGAGAGGGGAAGGAGTCAGAGGCAGCCCGTGCCCTGTGCCAGCAGCACGGCAGCGCAGCCGAAGGAAGCAGCAGCTGCTCCTAAAGCACAATCAAAACCCTGCAATCCACGAAAAAGTGCCAAGTGGTTACTCATGTTCCTAGAGGAGGAAAAGGATTGATCCCTGAGCAACCACCCAGTCTTAGAGAAGCCCCATTCCCACTCCATTTACCCAGAATGAAACGTGATATCCTGACAAGATTCCCTCACACGACAGGAATTTTCTGCACCTGCTCATGCAGTTTAAGCCAGAGGCAATCAGCAGATTGAGGCAGCAGACTTGTGAGTGAATTCCAGCTAGCTGTGCACATTGTGAATTCCAGCTAGTTGTGCACATTGCTCTGTGCATTAACAAGCTCCAGCATTGAAGGAACTACTTAAAAACATTTCTCTTTCATAAGCACCTGCTATGAATGATGTTCCTCCCTCCAATCTGCTGCAATCACAGAAGGAATCTTTCACCATAAGAGGGACAGGGAACAGCAAGGTCTCACAGACATCAAATAATCTGACATTTATTTACACAAAAATAGCTTATTTTGAAAACAGTACACACACTTTATACCAGTTAGTGCTAGACAGAAAGTGTTGGAAGTTTTGGAAATATTATGCCCCAGACAGTTAAAAACTTTACAGATTGAATTCTGTTGTTAAATGTTTCTGTCTGATACTGGTTCTGATCTTGTCACTCAGGGCTTGATTTTCAGAAGTTCCAAGCACTCACAGTCCATGCTGACTTCTGCAGAAACTTGACTGCTCGACCCTTTGGAAAGGCAAACTCTACATTTTCCAATAGGAATAGCACATTATGTGCCTGTTAAAAAGTCCTGAGGGAAGAAAGAAGTGGTTTCAGTGCTGTTAAAATGCCAATTCACCATCTCAGAGGAGCCAAGCACCTCTGTGAAATTCTGATATCCTGATCCTTCATAGCTGTGCAAGGAAAAACACACAAGTGAGTTGGAGAAGTAATAAATACAAACTCAAAGACAAAAAAGTGGTTTATGAACTGCTCCAGTGACTGAAGAACATCTCTGTCTTCCCAGCTGAAAGAAAGCAGATGTTTTACAGGGTGTAAATACACTACTTTCTTACAAAAGCTCTTTCTGATGCCCTTTTCAGCCTGAAACCCTCCCTGCTCCCCAGTTAACACCTCCAGGCCTCTCATTTAGAGCCTGCACTACACTCACAGTGACACTTACTGGAAAGAATCCCAATTTCCTGCGCAAGCATTTTAAGACATTAACATTTCTACCACAGAGAGAAACTCTTGAAACCTTATCTCAAAGCTGCTGTCTGGGGGCCTGCCAAGGAAAAGCAATTTGCACCAATCACAAAGCAAGGCAGGAAGGGCAATTTCCACAGAACATCCAGTTTGGAGGAGTTTTCCTTAACTTCATCACCATAAAAAAAATAATATGTAATTGACTTTTTGTGACCCTATGATTGCAAGAGCAATCCTGTTCCTTGGCGAATTTTCAGGGTAGAGACAGGAACTGATGGCTGTGCATGCCTAGAGCAGGGGAACAAAACAAATCCACAAAGGTACAGAAGTGGAAAATAACCCTGTTGGTAACACTTAACCTCTGAATCCCTCATCTCTGACATGGGAGCAATCAGATGAACTGAGATTTAAACACCCCAACAACACAAAAACTGCACAAAACAACCCAAAACCCCAAAGGAGCCCCATTTTTCTCTGGCAGGGGAAGCCTCCCCATGGCCTGCAGGTTCCCAAACTGGCTCCAAAGGGACCCCCTGTATTGCCAAGGGCCTTCCACCAGCCAGAAAACCCCTACTTGAGCACTCCCACCTTGAGGTATCACAAAGCAAACAGCACAAGGGCTGTTCTATCAAACATGTTCTTGCAATTAACAGCAATCCTGCCTCAGTTATCAAAGGACACATTTGGGAAGTGAAATAAAGCCAGGCATGTCTCTGACTTAGCAGCTCAGCACTAGGATTTATCTTCAGAGAAAAAAACAACCTCCCCAGCCTCTATCTGAGCAGCAAGTGTTTAAACATGGACATTTTGGCTACATCTCAGCATCAAGCAGCTCTTACAGCTTCACTGAACTCTGACTGAAAGGGCATTAATTCAAGGCACTGTGTTCTTCAGAAAGATTAGTTTCAAATGCTGTTCCACATTAAAACTTTCCTAAAAGGTCAGGCCACATCTGTCTGCTGCTCACTGACAGCACAGTCAGCATGGTCACATAGCCCTGAAATGCTTTATGTGGATGGGTTTTGTTGATTTGTTGGGTTTGGGCTTTTTTAAAGCCATCTAGGCTATCCTTATGGTCACCAGTGCAGAAGGAATTAATTTTTATCCCCTGTATTTTAGAAGAAACATAACTGGACACTGGAGTTCCAAGGTGCTGCCTCTCCCAGGAGAGAATGCAGTTTTCCATGCTGTCCTTGCAGCACTGTGAGATTTCATACACTGCTCCCTCCATAGCAACAGCACTGAGGAATTCCCATGGCTCACAAACACAGCAGTGTGTTCTAAGGGATGTTTTCACTCCCTCACACATGATGGGTGAGCTCTGGCAGCCCCTCCTGCTCCAGCATTCCCACCTGCAGCACGGGGCTCCAGTCACCCCCAGAGTCACAGCTCAGGAGCTGCACAGCAGGAAGGTGGGAGGAGGCTGGGGACCTCCTTTGGAATACAGAATATAAACTTCAATTTCCCTGACAGCCTGGAGCAGGAGCAGCTGGACACGAGCACAGGTACAGACAGCAGATCCCACAGGAAAAGGGGGAAGCTGCTGAGGGCAGGAATGTTTTCAACAGCCTTAGCAGCTCCTCTACAATTTGTGCACCTGAGCATTCCCTCTCCTGTGTGAGTCAGCTCAGCTGGAGCCACTGATGGCCCTGTCCAAGACTCTGCTCTAAGGGCAGCTCATACAGAACATGTATTTAGGAGATAAAACAGGGCTGTGCCTCTGCTGTTGTGCTCACAGCTGCCTGAAATGGTTCCATTTCAGAATTCTCTCCATCCACTATTCCCAATCATGCCCAACAGCAAGTGCTGGGTCCAGGGTAACTCTCTCCACAAGTATTTGTGAGGACATGTGGCTGAATGAGGAGAATGTCAAAGACAGCATTACAGAGTCACGAGCAGGGAGGGCCCCACTGCAGCTGACCCAGCACCAGGAGGAGCCTCAGCACACTCACACACCCCACAGTACATCACCAGAGTTTGACTCCTGAAGCAACTGCACTTCTCAGTGCAAAAATGCACCAACATCCCTGCTGCCCTGGGAGTAGAAAGCAGCAGCTTTGCCAAGACTTGCCATTCCTCAGATGTGTTTCCTCATGCATAAATAAAAAGTGCAAGGAAAACCAATTTATGAACTTTCCCATATAATCTAAAAGGGCTGTGGCCAGAATTCACCATTAGTTTTAAATTCTCACATACTTAAGTTCAGTAACTATAGATCAGACACTTCTTAAGCCACAGAGTGTGGACACAGAACAATTTTCCTCACTGGAACATTTTCAAGCAGCATTAAAGGACCCACCAAGTCCAAATAATGCCCCAGGCAGGGTTGCTGTCGAATTAAGTCTTGTGGTACCAATTATTTTGGCATTTATACACCCACAAATCAAGTTTACAAGTAAGATAAAATTGATCTGGGGCTATTTATGCTCAGCAGTTCTATACACACCCTCAAAAAACTTCATTGGCTTTTACTTTGAGCAACAATTGTTTGGAAAACAGGCAGGAAGATCTCCCTTTACTGAAAACACAAACATTATTAAACTTCTTGCCACAATATTTATTTTTAAAGGACATTAGTGCTTTTAAATAAGAAATTTAATACCTTATGCTCAAGTTAATGCTTTTTTAAGTGATTATCAGCAGTTTGGCCTTCTCATTGAGGAAGTCTGCTGAAGGATTTCCAGTCACATTAATTGTGCCAGAATGGCTGAAGATGCAGAGCCAAGGTGAGCTGTCTTCTGCCATACGGGACGCGCAGATCTGAGGATACGTGTTTAAAATGTGTGTCTGTAACTAAATGAAGCAGCTGGCCCTGGCAGGGCAGGCTCAGGACTCACCTTGCTGGAGGAGCTGTCGAAGTGCAGGCCACAGGCTTTGCAGCTGTGCTCAGAAGCAGTGGGAGAAGGGAAGGAGCTGTAGCCGGGGTTGGAATACGCCTGGGCTCGGGCTGCCGGCGGCGGCTGCATCTCCTCAGGGGAGCCATCCACACAGAACCAGTTACAGCAGCTCGCCCACATAGTGCCTGCCAGGGAAAACACCTGTCAGAGGGGCAGGGACAGCGCCTGCCAGCTGAGGGGACACAAAGCAGGACATGCAGGTCAGTGCCCTCCCGTGGTTCATTTTCAACAGCACGTTTGTCAGGTTTGATCCTTCCTCTGACACAAACCCCACACGGCCAGTCCAGCGTGATGCAGCTTTGGTGAGAAGGGACAAACAAAGATCAAGAGAACTTTATTACTGATACTTTATGGAGTTAAGAGACTACAATGAAGATAAGATAAAGTTTATGTTCCACTTGGCCGTATCAGATTCTGAGTTTGCTGTAACAGGCTGTTTCTATTTCACATAAGCTGCAATACTTATCAGGATGTAATAAGGCATCAGGAAAAGAACACAAAAGCTCAAATTATTTGGAACAGAACAGTTAAATAAAATCAGCAGCAGGATCATAGATGGCCATTCCTCAGCTTTATCCTAAATCCCCCTACAGATTTACAGCTACAAATCCAAAAAGATAAAATAAAAGCAAGGACAGCCGAGCCGCTGATTTCACACTGCAGTTCTCGGCTGAATTTACAGCATTACAAGGCTGAATCATCACACAGCAGGTCAATGTCAGTAATGTAAGTAAATCAAATATTGGCTTTGGTAACTTGCTTAGGAAAACAACTGCAGCTGAGACACAAAATCACTTGTTTATTTTTTCAAGTCAAATTTTATATGTATACACACATATACACACACACACTTACCAAAAATCCTAACACAGTCCAGTGCAAAATGCTCAGTTCCAAAGTCTTCTCAGACCACCTCTGCTGCAATATTCCAGAAATACACTGCTATAAACTTGCTTTTGGGAGTTTACAAAGAAATCTGAATTCATCTGGGCATTCAGTTTCTGGAGCACACACCATGTGTCATCACTTACGGGTAAACTGAATACAAATTGCCTCCTCTGCATTTCTGCTCTCACATGGGAGTTCCTGAACTGTTTCTTTTATGTCTTAAAAATCAGCTCCCTCACTGATAGTGTTCAGCAACTGCTTGATTTTATAAACTTCTGGAAATAAAACATCTCTCAGCTGTACAGCCAATTCATTGCTTGTTACTCAGTAAGTATTGCCACTGTGAAACTCCAGATTCCCAAGGGAACAGGGCTGTGAAGGGAATCCTAATGGTTATTGGGTGTAGTATGTTCTTTTTTTAAAGCTGTGCTGAAATTTTGGGGCTGATGTACTTGAACTGGGAAGTTTTTGCACTCTGGTGCTGCTCCAGTATCTGTTGCTTCAGTGTTATCTTTGATCCTTTCAGACCCTGGCTGAATTTGGCTGCTCAGAGTCCCTGCTGTCCTGGATGGATGCCTTTCAAAGGCCACAGTGTGAGCTCAGCCAGGAGCCCTCCCTGCAGGCTCAGCACATTGCAGAGTTAAATACAAATCTACACATTCACTCCATGGATTCGTGCTGGAGCTGATGTGCTCCTTGCTGCAGTGGGAATGACACCAGATCTCAATAAACAGTGTGGACTGCACTTAGGCTGGCAATGAGATCCCAATAAATACAAGGAGGAAAGCACTGCATGAACAGAAATAATCTATCATCCATCTCTATTAGCTTTGCCCTGCAATCAAACACGCACTTCAGATGGCACAGATGAAAGAAACAATTACCCTTTTCTTCTCTGCACGTTAATTTCCAAGCTCTCTGTCCCACTCAGAAGTTAACAGAGATTTTCTTTTGCAAAAATACAGAATTTCTACTGGAAATCACATTCTTTGGGAGGTTTAATTTGTTCCTAGGAATCACAAATCTAAACAACACAAAGCTGCACAGTCCAAGAAGCATTCACAGCCTCCACAGCAGTGGAAAACTGCATCCAGAGTTCAGCTCCCTTCCTGTTTCAAGGACCCCTGCAAGCTGAAGGCCACCCACGATAACAGAATACACAAATGCTACTGCCTGCCCCCAAAAACTTTGTTTTCCTAGAAAAAGACAGCCTACTAATTCACTCTGGAACGTTGCAACATGTCAAACATTGGGAAGAAAAACACAAGGCAGTGCACAAACTGGGATAAAATAAGACAGAGCTCAGCATTCAGCTGGGGTTGTAGCTCTGTGATTGCCAGGAATTAAAAGGCCAACAAAAAGCTCAGATGTTGCTTTAGAAGAGCCTTAATCCTGCTCAGCTACAAAAGCATAGAAGGGAAATGCCCATAAACAAACAACAACCAGGACTGTCCTCTGATCCGTAACATTTTTCCAAAGGTATAAAAAGGAGCACACATGTAAAACACCTCTGTAGCTGCCTACAGCTGCACTAAGGCAGCAGCAAGCAATACAGGTAATATTCAGCAGCTGCTTCAAGAGGGATTTTCCATTGTTCTGGACAGGATCAGCTTTAGAGCCAAGGAAATGAACACTGCCACTGATAGAGGACTCCAAGTTACAAGCAGAATGCCTCAGTGGAATTTCAGGATGACAATTTCCTTGATAGCTCTACAATGTTTGCAACAGCAAAATTATTCCCTTATTTATTCTCTTACCCATCTGGAGGTACGTGGTCAGCACAGTCCAGGAACTGCTCATTTCCTGGATGGATGGATGGATGGATGGATGGATGGATGGATGGATGTTACAGATGTGGCAGTCTGAAGGTCAGAACCACAGATCCTGTCAATTCCCTGCAAAGGAGCTGCTGTTCTGCACCCAAGGAGCTCCACAGCTACACCAAAGTGACAAATTAATGCCCAGACAAAAGAACTCCCAGTGGAAAGAGCTACTTCTGTGTTGTGCTCCAGGGTTGGGAAAATACTTACAGTAACTTGGCTAATAACAGTGTGAAAAATAACAGCTTGGAAAACTTAATGACAGCATGGATTTCAGGAACATCTTGAATAAAAGATGCGGACTTACTGGCATAGCTGACACTACAGGCACTACTGATAGCAGCATTATCCTTGGACAAGGTGTCTCTACAGCCTCCTGGAGCCACAGAAACAACTGCGTGAGCCACACACAAACCCAGCTGAGCTGGGTTTGGCAAACTGGAAGCTCCATGGCAGGCACCCAGCAGTGTCTGCTGGCAGCCAAAAAACACCTGCCCTAAATCCTAAGTGCACGTTGTGCTTAGAGCATCTGCCAGGGCAAAGGGAGAGGGAGTTTCATCAAGGGTGGAGACACAAGATCAAACAGTCTATCCTGGACCTGCAAACACATCCACCCACATGGCAATCAGCACCCTGGGAAGGGGCTGTTTCATCTTCTTTCCTCAGCTGCTTCAAGGAAAACCAGAAGAAATCCAATAAATGGCAGGGAGGATGCTTGCCATGGATAAAGTGGTGCCAGCACTCCACCATGCTCTGCTGGACTGCTTTTATTGATTATTTATTTTTCCAGTATGAAGCTGTACATGCCATGAATCTCTTGACTGGATTTAAACAGGAGACTTAAATTCAATTCATCACCAGTTCATTAACACGTTCTATACAACGCCAAAAGTTCTGTATTGATTTAATTCTGAATGAAATGCCAGTGATGTCAAAGTTTTCCTCCCATACATAGTTGAAGAAGGATTCATAATACAGGCCTGGATTCTTTTACTTCCTATCTTCATTTAGAAAAGTGTTTGAACTCAGGTTCTCACTCCATATGCAGTATCACTGCCATAACCTTGCTAGCTGGAGTACCAGGGATCACAGCCTCCACACAGGATTTATTACACATGCTGTTTGGATTTCATCAAAGGCTAGGCTGTGGCTGCAGAGGGAAACTGTGGTTTGTGTTTGAATATAAAATCTGCCTTAATTTTCCTAAGGGTACAAACAACAAGGGACTAGAGCAAGCAAATGAACATCTCAGAATCAATGAGCTTCCAGCTCTGTATAATAAAGCTCTCCAGGACTGGGTCTGGCTCCTTTTCATGACTGCTCAGGAATTCAGCAGCTGGAATGCAGCAGCATCAAGGAGACACTTGAATCAAGGGATCAAAAGGAAATGAGCTCCCAGAAGCAGCTGATTCTACTCCCACACGAGAAGAAACCACAGCAGCAAGTAGTTCTGCTCCTGAGAGGCCTTCAACCACTGGAGCAGCAGGGCTGATGACCCTCGAGGCTACTGCAGATGGAGCTGGGTGCCAAAAAGGGAGGGAGATGCAAGAGAGCAGCTCTGCCAGGGCCAGCATCCCGCAGTGCTGTTTGCCCATCAGCCCCAAGAGCTGCCTCACACCTCCTGAGCTCAGCACAGTGAGCTGCTTCTCCATCAGCTCCCTGAACCAGCCAGCTCCTCTCTGCCCCCATCCACTGAGGAACACCCTCCTTCCTTCCCATTCAGAACCTTCCTCCAGCCTTCAGGACTGCAGTGAGCAGCTACAGATGTCCTACACCAACACAGACCGTGTGTCCTGCACAACACCAGTAAGACAACTCTCAACACAACACACCAACCCTGGCATAATGCTGAGCACAAAATCATTAGTTCCTGCCACTTCTAGTAGCTTGAAGACCAAGGAAATTGTTCAGGAGGCCAGAAAAAGGCAGTGTGGCTTTAAAATACTCATGTAATGATAGGTCTTTTTAAAAATTACTATTTTTGTTATTAATCCATGCTGTAGCCCCTGCAAAATGGATCAGATCTCACTTTGACAAATGCTGTTTGAAATGGTTGAAGCATTTAATGAGTTAATCACCATGGTGTCCCATTAATAGTGTTGCACAATTGCTCATTGTTACAATTTACTACTTTTTTTTTTAATTATTTCAACAAACCTGCACTGATAAGAAATGCCTTGCTAAAATTAGTTTCACTAATGACCTACCACTTCCAAACTGAATTCAAAGTAAGGTCAAAAAAGCAGTATTTGCTTGATAACAGAGCTATAGAATAATCTGCTCAAATACCACTTATGCACAAAGTATTATTTTTATCAGCCTTTGTTCCAGGCACAGACCTGAATTATGATAAATGGGAGCAGCCATATGTTGGGACAGCTGGAAAAGTCAGCTAATGAGCCACTTGCAGAAGGGACAAGGAAAGGAAGCGGGTTGCCAGTCTGAGCATGACATTTGCAGACATGGTGTCTCAACCAGTACAGAGCAGGAGAAAAGGAAGAGATGGGACACAAACCTGTCACAAGGAATGTACATCTAATTTACTGGATAAAATAACTGCACTGAAACTGTCAGATTTTTATGTAGGGATAGGAAAAAATATGAGTAAAGCTACTACTTCACCTGCCCACGGTGACAGTATGCACACCTTGAAAAAAATGAGTAAATAAATACCAGCACTGGATCACAGCTAGAAACAGAAGTGTTCAGGTGGGGGAGGCACAAGAAATTGTGTTATGGAAGGAGGAAAGAAACACTTTTCCATTTTGTTCTGTGCCCTCCAAAAGCCTGGAGACATTTCCCATCTCTAATCATCTAACATCATGCAACAAAGACAAATATTTAATTGCTCACCAGTCTGATCAGCAACTTTGATGTCAGTTTAAAACTCTTCAGGTGAGGCCCTGGTCAGCTACAAAGGCAGAGAGCTCAGGTCAGTCCACACAGAACAGGGTGTCCAGGACTTCTGTGTCCCTTTGGTTGTGATCCTGTGCATCCAGGAGTGCCTGTACTGCCGGGCACATCAGGGGATGCCCTTGAACAGCACCCACATCCTCATGTCCAGAGGCTGGCCAGAGCAGGCTGGCACTGGCACCCCATTCCAAACGCTGCCTACACCTTCCCCACGGGACGCGCACAGTCCCTGGCTGGAAGGGACTGCACCCACCAGCAATAATCCATCTTCAGCCCCTCTTCAACACAGCTGCACCTGTGCTTCTCCACGCTGGAGATGCCTCCAAAAGCCTCCTCTGTGTGTGGGCTCGGCAGCCTCGGCAGATCCCAACAACGCAGGCAGGAGCAGATCCCGGAGCGTGGCACACAGCTGGATGCGGCAGCGCCGCTGCTGCGAGCGTGCGAGCCCGAAGGAAGGGAACCTGGCCGCGCACCAGCATTTTAATGAAGGAAGTGACATCCATTTAGCACAGAGCAGAGAGTAAACAGGGCAGCCCGCTGGGGCAGGGTGCAAGGCAGAGCAGGAAAAAGCTGGAATGGGGCCACAGGCGTTCAGCACAGCCACACACGGCTCTGCTGAAACGCCAGCGCCTTCAACTGCTGCTGAGCCCAGAGAAGCACCAAAAATCACTTCCCACTTGCGTGGTACAGAGGAAACCATCGTGCAGACAAAGCCCCTTTTATGCTGCTGTAACCTGGTTTACATTGAGCAGACCATTTGCCAGGTAAGCCCATGGAAAATTGGCTTAGCTGAGAGGAAAATTACGAGTTCTTATACACACGACAAAAATCCAGCAAGTATTCCAAGAGCATTTTGCAGCTGTACCAGTATTATCAGTACTGCCAGCAACACCTGATGATGTTCAGGAGGTTTACAGACAGATCTCCACCTGAAATCCCACCAGCACTGTTACAAGCACAAAGGATCTCAGCTTCAAGCACCTCTTTGAAACTAGAGAGCTGCAATTCCCATTTGAAATGGAGAAAACCGTTTTAGAAAGCTGTGGGATTTATGGAGCATTGAGAGAAAGCTAATTCCAAAACAGACGCTTTCTTACTTGACTCCTAGCTTTGCACCTGGAATTGCAAACTCAACTCTCACCCATCTTCCCTCTCCTCTGTAGCACAAGTAACACCAAATTCCCCCCCACTTCAACATGAGAAGCTTGGAAATCCTGTTTTGTAAGGAATTGGATACCTGGGATGAGTATTATTTTAATATAAACTGTTTACTTTGAGCCAAAGTTGCATTTTATATACTGAAAAATATTTAGATAAAAAGTTCTTTTTGCTATTAACTGTAATTAGGTCTCGAGACATCTGCCAAGATGGAAAGTCAACTGTCTTTTTCTTTTGCAAATCAGTGACATTCTCCCAGCAAGTTAACAGAAACCAAAACAAAGTGATTAATGAAATCATGTGATTTTAGAAAATTATTTTTCTTACCCAGTCTGTCTCAACTCCTTAGTCCCATACCTGTTCCCAAGGGACAAACTGTGACCTCGAGCTTATCTCCCTTCCGCTCTCCTGTTACGCCGAAAAACAATTCAAAAACCTGCTGTGCTCTTTCACACTGCTTTGATATTCATCAGCAAGGCTGAATTAAGTCAGTTGTAATTATAGCATGAACCAAGTCAGGAGGAGAAGAAAGGACACTCTGGAGAAGCAAGATTCCAGAGTACTGTTTTGTTACCATTCCCAGAATCCTGCATGGCTGGATGTGTCTCTATCCTTAGTCTCACACCCAAAAGTGTCACTGAAAGTGGAATTTCTCCACCAAAATGTCAGCAAGGAGCAGTCCAGGAATCCTGGACTATCTCCTCCCAACTCAACCAGTCCTTTTCATGATGGAGAAGAAGCTCCACGCTGGATTTTTCTCTCACAGGTTTTCACCATTCCTCACAGGTTTTCTTGGATTCAGCTGCATAGGTCACTGCTAAAACTGTAATTCTAATAGACAGCAATAAATTCTCAATGAAAACCTGAACATTTAAATTACTGTGCAGCTTCCCTAACCAGCCCTACTCCAGGAAGAGTCCATCCCATCCAGATTTCATCTCAAAACCCACCTCAACCACTCTTCCATGACAGCCACGTGGCAACAGCTGGGGGAGGTTTCCTGGATCTGTGCCCACCTGGAAGTCAGAAAGAGGCTCCAAAGGCATAGCAGGAGCTTTTCAGGGAGTCCTCCTCCTCTCCACACTACAAATACCTCCCTCTCTCAGCACATTTTACAATGCCCAGAATAGAACCTTGCTGAAAATAAGTTTCTGCTGTGCTGCAAAACACTGCTGTGGACCCAGTGACTTCAGTGTTTGGGTATTGCAAACAAACAGGAGCAGATCCACAGTTTAACCAGGGAACAGCCTGGAATTCCCTCTGCTGGAAGGTGATTTCACCACGGGAGAAGGTAACCACTGTCAGATGGTGTAATGATACCCTTCTCCTAAATGGAGAAAAAAAGGGGAGGAGAAAGGATATCAACCGGGGGAATTCAGGGAGCTGGAGAAAAAAGGGGAGGAGAAAGGATATCAACTTTTATTTTCATCATATCTCAAGTTCCCTACTTCAGGTAAAAAGAGATCAAGCTATTTCCATTGGAAACCCTTGCACAATTACACATCTTGTTTCATTATGACAACTGCATAAATTACATATTCACCAACAGTTTAGCTTTGGAATGAAGCACAAGCATATGGGGGCAGTTGAAAGGAGAAGAGAGAGGTGCATTATCCCAGATACAGCTCATCAAATTTGGAAATGGACAAGACTAGCCAGAATTACATTAAGTTTCCCTGAAACTGGGATTACAATTGGCCCTAAAGCTCCACAGACTCAGGGTTATCACTGTGTCTCAGGCATCCAGAATTGAGAGTGTTTGCTGATAAATTACAACATCAGTTGGAAATCCTGGAAATTATTTGTCATGCCAAGCTATGGGTTTATTTTTAACCAGTAAACTTCTAAATTTCACCCCTCTAAAATCAAAATATAGTCTCAAAATTCCTCACATGCTAAACCTACTCTTCTCCCGACCTTATTCCAGGAGCTGCTGGTAGAAAATGAACCTAAATTCCATGGAATTTATACAAGTGGAAAAGTGTACGTGCAGTAGGACTGGATGCACCACAGCTCTGTGCAGACTGGCAGGCAACCTCTAACCTATTTAACTGCAGCCTGAAAAAAGATAATTTTTATTTGGCTAGACTGAAACAGATCTGGATGTATATAACTGAGGCACATCATAACAAGTACAAACACTGCAGACTCATTTCATAGCTATGCCTATTCCAAATTAATCTGAATTCAAATCCAAACTAGGTGCTGAAATAGAAGAAAATGCAGCTGCAGATCTTCTCCTTCAGCACACACGTACAAAGACCAGCTCACACGTCACATCTGACACAATGTGGGAAGTTCTGCCCTCCCAGGCTGCAGAAATACTTAGAAATTAGTCAGCAGTTAAAAAAAGGTCCAGGATGTTGAATACAAACCTGATGACTGGTTTTGTTCCTGAGATAACAAAAGATAGCACGATAAAAAAGTGAGTTTGTTTATGGTTTAGTCACCTTATCTGTGGACAAGGGAAAATACCCCACTCTCATCTGAAGGAAGTGAATACAGGTGGAACTTTGAGAGGGACTTTGAAGTTGTTCTCTTAAAGCATTTCCATAAATACTATTATTGTGCCAATCTCCATTTAGCACGGAAGCATTTGAAATTCAGAATTGCTTACATGCAGCCCTGGAGAAGAGCTTGGAAACTGAGGGAAAGTTCAAGCCTTAGCACCCAATGTGTGCCAGCAGGACAAGCATGAACTCTCTACAGCATTCATGGGACAGATGTTGTGGAAAAGTCCATTTCCAACCACCTGCAGTGTTTGTTTCTAGAGCTGGAAGGTTCTACATGGGCTCCTTCACCACCATCCTTGTCTGACTGCTGTGCCTCTCTCCCTCCAGCCTCAATTTCTGCAGAACATTAAGGACTCAGAAATCCAAAACAAAGCAGCCCGAAATCTGGCCTTTATACAAACACAAACATGAACAAACACAACAGCCATCTGGTCCCATGGTTTGCTGACTTGAGGGGGCACATCTTGAGGAGATTCTGCAAGAGCTCACACAGGGACTCACCAACCATTCAAGTAAACATTGGTCTCTGGGAACTAAAGCCATGATCCAAAAAAAGGTAATTCTTCCTTATTGCCACATCTCTATACATCAATTATGGCAGAACATTTCAGTTCTTTGTCAAGCCTTTTAATCACCTGTGTGCAGCACCAACAGAGGCAGGATGGGCATCCTTTGATGGCAGAGATCACCTAAACCCATCCAATTCATGGGATCAAACAAAGTGCTGAACGTGGAACCCCAGTGGGATCCAACCCAGAGAATGCATTTTCACAGAAGACTGAGAGGACAGCAGGTAAGGAAAGCTTCAGCCAGGGACCTGCACCTCCTGGATTCCCACCTTTGTCACACAGGGAAATGTCCCATATATGGCCCAAGCCAGCAGGGTCACATTTCAGTGCAGGCTTCTGGCAAGCCCAGACATTCAGACATCGTGAGTCAGTGCTCCAGAAACCACTGGAGTTTAGATACCAATAAATCTACTTCATTTTGGCTGGGTTTTTAAATTCACCTTCTGTTGGGGATTTTTCTTCAACCTCTGCAGTACTCAGGCACCATCACACTTTCATTTTGCTTCTCTGTAACTGGCAGAAGCATTTCTTTCCATTCTGGGGGCTTTCTGCTTTGTAAAATGACAGACAAGATTTTCATATTAGACTAAATCCTGGCATTGGGGCATGAAGAATAAAACCAGACCAGCTACCATGGAGGCTGGGAACATACTAAGTATTCTTGTAATTTCACACAGCCCTCTAGCAACAAAGAATACTTATTTTTTAAATAAAACCTCAAAACATCTTCACTTCTGTCCTCAGATCCCAAACAAACAACAACCTATCTGACATTTCAGCACAACCAGACAGGACTGCTGCCAGTAAGAAGCTCCCTATGACACAATCTTTTCCACCACTGACCTGATAACATCAGCATGACCTTTCTTCTCTTTTAAACTCTACTTTTCTCAGTTCAATAGTTCAGCAGAAACGGATCCATTTTTGATTACACAAACAAAATCAGATACCACATATTCCTATTAAAAAAAAAATTAAACTCCAAATTTCAAAAAATATAATTGGCTAGTTATTTTCAGATTAGTAATGAAATAAATGTGGGTCAATTCAACGTGAGGATTTTTTGTTTCAGTTTCCAGCTCTGTGAGTCTGGGCCACTTCAGTTCTCTGTGTTTGAGTTTTCCATAAGCAAAATACAGATACTGCCCCATCAGGGAATGGAATCAATATTTCATTTCTTTAAAGCAGTACTGCATTCATAATGGAATAAATACTTTCAGAGAACTACAGAGCTCATAGAAATGAAGCACTTAAGGGAAGAAATGTGAGTGAACAACCTCCTTGCAATTCTGCAGAGCATACTAACAGTTTTACAACACAGAATATAAAAGAAAAACAGGACAAAACAAGATGATTTTGAGGCCAAATTAATGTTTGACACAAGTGCAACAGACAATGCAAGTCCTGTTCATTTTTGGTGGCTTTTTTGTTTGTTTGTTTGAACT